AAGGACACCAACTCTCACCTTTCTCAATTAACATAGTATGTATGGAAAGTATTAGCCAGAGTAATCAAAACAACGGAAACAAAAGAAGGGCATCTAGATTGGAAAAGAAAAAGTCAAATTGTCCCTCTATAGATGGCAAGATCCTATACATAGAAAAATCTGAAGACTCTACCAAATAACTGTTAGAGCTGATAAATGAATTCAGTAAAGTTGGAGGATATAAAATTAATATACGTAAATCAGTAGTGTTCTTAGACTCTAACAAAAAACTAGCAGAAAAAGAAATCAAGAAAACAAGCCCATTTATAATAGCTACCAAGAAAAAAATAGCTAGGAATAAATTTAACTAAGGAGGTGAAAGATCTCTACAATGAGAACAAAAATCACCGTTGACAGAAATTAAAGAGGACACAAAAAGAGGAAAAGACATTTCATGGTGTTGGATTGGAAGAATTAACATTGTGAAAATGTCCACACTACCCAAAGCAATCTACAGATTCATTGCAATCCCTATCAAAATACCAATGACAATCTTCAAAGTAATAGAAAAAACAATCCTAACATTCATAGGAAACAAGAAAAGATCTCAAATATCAAAAGCAATCCTGATCAATAAATAAATAAAGACAGAGGTCTTACACTACCTGACTTCAAATTGTACTATAAAGCTATAATAACCAAAACAGCACTGTACTGGCATAAAACAGACACTTAAACGAGCAGAAGAGAATACAGAACCCAGCAATCAAACCACATACTTACAGCCAACTGATCTTTAACAAAGGCACCAAGAACACAAATTGGGGAAAGGACAGCCTTTTCAGCAAATGGTGCTAGTAAAACTGGGTATGGTTGAGTAGAAGAATGAAACTAGACCCATACCTCTCACTATATTCCAGAGTCAACTCAAAATGAATTAAAGAGTTAAATATATGACCTGAAACTATAAAACTCCTAAAAGAAAACATAGGAGAAATACTTCAGGAAGTAGGACTAGGCAAAGATTTTATGAATAAGACCCCAAAAATACAGGCAACAGAAGAAAAAATAAACAAATGGGATTACATCGAACTAAAAAGCTTCTGCACAGAAAGTGAATTAATCAACAGAATGAAAAGACAACCTACAGAATGGGAAAAAAATATTTGCAAACTATGCATCTGACTATGCATCTAATATCCATAATATACAAGGAACTCAAACAACATATAGGTTGGTCCTTTCTTAAATCTCCTCTGACAGTTTTTGTCTTTTTATTGGTGTGTTTAGACCATTCATGCTTAAAGTGATTATTGGTATAGCTGGATTGATATCAACCCTATTTTTTACTACTACCTATTTATTGTCCTAGTGCTTTGCTGTTGTTTTCTGTCTACTCTGGTTTTAACTCACCACAGTGTATATTTCCATTCTTTCTCTTCTCCTATAATATCAATTATACACTTTTTTTTTACTTTTTTTAGGATTTCCCCTTGAGTTGGTAATATATATTTACAACTAACTAATCAAAGTTCCTCGAATAACACTATACTAATTCTCAAGTAGTGCAATTACCTTATAAAGGAGTATTCATTCCCAATTTCTTCATCCCATCCGTTCTAACATTGCTGTTGTTCATCTCACTTATCCGTAAGCTAAATCACCCAATACATTTTTGGTATTATTAATTATGAATAAAATATCTGTTAGATCAATCAAAAATTTAAAATATAAAATATTTTACTTTACCTTCATTTATTCCTTCTCTAATGCTTTTTTTTTCTTTATACATGTGCAAGTTTCTTACCTACATTATTTCCCTTCTCTCTAAAGAACTTATTTCAATATTTCTTACAGTGAAGATCCACTGACAACAAATTCCCTCAATATTTGTTCGTTTTAGATAGTCTTTATTTTTCCTTCACTTTTGAAAGATAGTCCCACTAGAAAAAGTGTTCTAGGTTTGTGGTCGTTTTGGCAGTTTAAATATTTCACTCCAATCTCTTCTTGCTTTCATGGTTTTGAAAAAAAGAATGGTGTAATTCTTTCCTTGCCCCTCTATAGGTGAGGTGTATTTTTTCCTCTTCTTTTACAATTTGTTTTCTTTCTTTGTGATCTTCTGCAGGTTGAATAATATGCCTAGGTGTAGATTTTGGGGGATTGATCTTTCTTCATGTTCTCTGAACTCTCTACATCTGTAGTTTGGTATCTACCATTAATTCTGGGTAATTATTATAGTTTCAAACATGTATGCTATGCCTTTTGTAATCCCACAGTTCTTATATATCCAGTTCTGTCTTTTTCACTCTTTTTTCTCTTTGCATTTCAGTTTTGGAAGTTTCTATTGACATTTCTTCCCTAGATCTGATTCTTTCCTTGGTTGTGTTCAAGGTATTCATGAGCCTATCAAAGGCATTCTTAACTTTTGTTTTTATTTTATTTTATTTTATTGACATTTATTTGTACATATTTGTGGGGTACAGTATATTGTTTCAATACATGCATATACTGCACAATGATTGACTTAGGGAAGATACCATGGTTTTGTACCCATTAGTCCCCTATTACAGTGTTTTTGATTTCGAGTATTTCCTTTTAATCCTTAGAGTTTCCATCTCTCTTCTTACATAACATATCTGTTCTTACATGGTATCCACTTTTTCCATCACAGCCCTTAGCACCTTAATCATCGTTGTTTTAAATTTCAAGTCTGCTCATTCCAACATCTCTGCCACATCTGAGTCTGATTTTGATGCTTGCTCTGTCTTTTCAAAAAGTGGTGTTTGGCTTTCAGTATGCCTTGTAATTTTTTTTTTTTTAAAGCCAGACATGATGTACTGGGTAAAAAGAAGCCAGAAAAATTGGCCTTTTATGTGAGGTTTTACATTTAATTGATTAGAGGTTAGTCTGTATTTACTGTTTCCTGTAGATGTAGGTGTTGATGTTAAATTTTCTCCCTTAGGTGGGGCAGAGAGCCTAGAGGGGGCTGGAGGTAGGTATTTCCTTTCCTTCAGGTCAGGTAGATTAGTCTGTTAAAATCCCAGTCAGTTAGGCTCTGGTACAGTAGTTTCTCTGAGGGCATTCCTTGTTAGAAGAACAGAGTGCTTTGGGAGAATTTAAATATGGCTAATTTTCCTCTTATTCTGCCAAAGGCATGAGGGGGTTTTTCTTTAATCTTCACTGTGAGAATGTGGTAGGGCTCCTGGAGGTAAAACTCACAAAAGTATGGGTGAGTGTCTCCTAAGATTGGGTCCCCCTGGAAATTTTAACTCTCAAACTTGTTTACACTGAACCTCCAACAACTCATGAATTACAGTTTAGAGTCTCCTTCCTCTGTACTAGTACCCATGGAGTTTTCTACTCCTGGGATTCTGCTCTGGTAAAAGTTTTAATTCACTGTATCTGCCTTTCTCTTCAATTTAGGAGGCAGTGCCTTGCCCTCTGACCCCAGTGTTATAATGTATTTAAGAATGTTGTTAAGTTTAAGTTTGTTCAGTTTTTATTCTTAGTTTGTGGTTAGAAGTGAAAACTTCTAATCTCCTTACATGTCAGAACAAAAGCCCAAGGTCATACTTACATTTTTAATTATGACCATAATCTCAAAAGGCAGGCTTCTTTATTAGGGCAATTTTACAAGCTGAGGAAACTGAATGCACTGAACATCTACTAAAATATGACCAAGGTCATATAGTAAAGAAGTGTTAAAGTCCTGCTTAGCTCTAGAACACAGAAACTTAAACATCATATTTTACTAACCCACGTATACATCAGGTTTCATAAAAGCCTTCTACTACACTCTCATGTTTTCCTCTACAACACTTGTAGCTCATTCTCAATTTCTTTTGCTGGCTACTTCTCTGTTCACCTTCAAAATGTTGGAGTTGATCAAGGCTCTGTTATGGGCCTTATTTCTTCTCCATCAACACACACATCCTGGGTTTTTGCTTTCATTACTATAGGTTATAGATTAGTTTTTGTACCATGTATATGATTACAGTTCCTAAATTATTATTAGCACAGATCTTTATTCTGACTTATACACATATCCAGTAGGTCACTTAACACATCCACTGGATGTCTTACAAAGATCATAAACACAACATGTTCAAAATGATATTCATAAATAATGCTGCTCACATTTATTCTCCCACCCCCAGCTTTCTCCACCTGAATCTCTGCACCATCCCTCAAATCAGAAACCCTGGAGTTATTTTTCACTTTTATGTTTACCTTTAAACCCACATCTACATATACAATCTATCAGCAAGTCATGTACAAGTATAATATTAAAATCTCTCTTATATATCATCTACTTTCCTTCATTTCAACAAGCACTAGTTTGAGCTGCTATCTTTTGTCTCTTGGACTATTGAAATAGACTTGTCATTTCTCTATTTGTTTATTCTTTCACTCCTCTACATAACCTGGTCTGAACCAATCTTTCTGATTTCACCTCTAGCTCCTCTCTGTCTTATGTACCACACTGACTTTCTTTCAATTCACCAAACACATTAAGCATGTTTACACTTCAGGGCTTTTGCCCTATCCATTCTATTTACAACATTCTCTGCCCCATCTACTCCCACTCCTAATAAGTGGCTAGCTCTTTCTGATCCTTTGGGTTTTATCATAAATACTACCTCCTCAGAGAGGCTTTCCATGACCATATCTGCTATATTCCTGCATTAGCAGTTTCTGGCACAGAGAAGCTCAATGTTTTTACATTATGTTATCACCTTTGTCTCCAGAAGAAATAGACCTTAAGCTAAACCTTCAGTAACTCTCTCTCTCCCCCCCCCCCCCCTTACTCGCTTTCACATTACACACACACACACACACACACACACACACACACACACGAATCAAGAATATAAATGTTCATTGTCTACAATGCTTTCAACAGTCTGTGACACACAACTTCCTTTATCATAAATAGCTGATCATTGCTTTCATGGAGGTTTGTGCAATAGTATCTCTACACCCTTCTCACAGGGATTCCCTAACTAAAATGACCAACTCACCAGAACTTCCACCTACAATGTGCCGTAAATCATACGGGTTGTTGGATCTTCCATAGATCTTGTTACTGGATTCATACCACATGCACAACTCACTGCAGTTGGTTATGCCAATGGGGATGGCACCAGCCTTCTTCAGCAATGCCACCACAGTGGCATCTGTTTTAGAAATGGCATCACGGCGGTTCACAAGGCCAGAAGAATTGGGCATTCCTACAAGGGTCACAGAAAACAAAGTGAAAACATTATTAAATAAAAATAACAACTATTTACTGAGTATCTACAATGAACCAACCCAGCTATTTTACTAAGTAATTTGCTTAGTACTGAGAGGTGGCATGACTTAGTAAAAATTGCACAGGCTTTGGAGTCAGAACTAAGTTCAAATTCCAGCTCTATATCTAACCAACACTTTAAACTTTAGGCAAGTCACTTAACTCTTCTAAATCTCAGTGTTTATGAGAATTAAATGAGTGAATGAATGTAAAATGTCCAAATATACTTAATAAACACAACCTATTATTACAAATTTCACCATCCAACAACCCATACTGGTAAGTTCTTTGTTAATCCATCTTAGAGATAAATAGGTTTAGAAAAGTAAAAAGACTGAACCAAGGTCATGCAGAAACATGACAGAGAGGTCAGGAAAGGGTCCATGTACATGAGGGTACTTCAAAATTTCATGGAAAATGGAATTAAAAAATAAAAATTTTCACATGAACTTTTTGAAGACCCCTTCATATATGAAACTTGGTATAAAATAGAAGCAGCATTTAGATCAGTAAGGAAAGAATGACATAGTAATGGTACTAAGAAAACTATCAATATGGAAATATAAATAAATATATGTGTGTGTGTGTATCCCTATATTATATCATAAGCAAAACAGAATATGAATAGACTGAATGCTTAAACGTGGAAAATAAAGCTTTAAAAATATTAACAGGTATATTTTTAGAAAATGCTCAACATCACTAACCGTCAGGGAAACTCAAGTAAAAAAAACATAATGAGATATCATCTCACCCAAGTTAGAATGGCTACCATAAACAAGACAAAAAAATCGGTGAAGACGTAGAGAAAGGGGGACTCATACACCATTGGTGAGAATGTAAATTAGTACAGTCACTATGAAAAACAGTATGGAGGTTCCTCAAAAAGTTAAAAAAATAGAACTCCCACATGACCCAGCAATTCCGCTATGGGGAATACATCCAAAGAAAATGAAATCAGTATTTCAAAAAGATATCTGCACACCCACATTTATAGCAGCACTATTCACAGTAGCCAAGATATGGAATCAACCTAAGTATATATCAACAGATGAATGGATAAAGAAAATGTAATACATATACACAATGGAATACTATTCAGCCATTAAAATAAAAATCCTGTCATTTGCAGCAACATGGATGAAACTGGAAGTTGTTATGTTAAGTGAGGTGAGCCAGGCACAGAAAGACAAATATAACATGATCTCACTCATTTGTAGAATCCAAAAAAGTTGATCTCACAGAAGTAAAAAGTAGACATGTGATTGCCAGAGTGTGGGAGGGGTATGGAGAAGGGTATGTTAGGAAGAGGTTGGTCAACAGGTACAAAGTTTGTTAGTCCAGAGAGGTTCTAGTGTTCCAATACACAGCAGTGTGACTATAGTTAACAATATTATATATTTCAAAATAGCAAGAAGAGAGAATTGTGAATGCTTTCACCATTAAGAAGTGATAAACATATGAGGTGTTGGATATGCCAATTACCCTGATTTGACTATTATACATTATATACATGTATTGAAGTGCCATTCTGTACCCTATAAATATGTACATTATATGTCAATTAAAAATAAATACATAAATAAATAATACAAATAAAATTAGAAGTAAATGTACAAAAATATTTTCATAACCTCAGGCTTGAGAAATAGTTTGTAAGGACATAAAAGCAGAAACCCTCAGACACTGCTATTGGTAATATAAAACAGTACAGCCACTCTGAAAAACAATTTGGCAGTTCCTCAAAATGTTAAACATAGTGGTACCATATGATGTGGCAGTTCTACTCCTAAGTACATGCCCAGGAGAACTGAAAACATATGTCCACACTATAGAAAAGGCAAATATGTAAAGATATAAGTAGTTTATTGATTGCCTGGATCTTGAGATGGAAATAGAGATTAACTGTAAATGGACATGAGAGATCTTATTGAGGTGAAGGACATGTTCTAAACTGGATTATGGTAACAGATGCACAACTTGGTAAATTTACTAAAAGTCTTTGAATTCGTACATTTAAAATGAGTGAATTTTATTGTATGTAAATTATACATTTAAAAAAGAATGATTCCTTTTATTTATAAAAAGAAAAAAATGCATAATCTTAATCTAATCATGACAGAAAAAATTACACAAACCCAAACTTGGAACATTCTCCAGAACAACTGGCTGGTATTCTTGAAAAATGTCAATATAACAGAAGAAAAGAAAGAATAAAAAACAATTTTAAATAAAACTAAAGAAGCCCAGCAACTAAATTCAATATGTGATCCTGGATAGGATTGTGAATAAGGAGAAAGAAATTTATGAAAGACATCATTGCAACAATTAGTAAAATTGGAATATTGCTCTGAGTTTGACAACTATACTATGATTATGTAAGAGTGCCTCCTTGTTCTTAAGAAACACACCAAAGTATTTACAGGTAAAGAGATATGATTTGTCGGACTGGCCCGGTGGCGCACTGCTACAGTGCGCCGCTTGGGAGCGCGGCGGTGCTCCTGCCGAGGGTTCGGATCCCACATACAGACCGGTTCCCGCTCACTGGCTGAGCGAGGTGCGGGTGCAGCACTGAGTGTTGCAATCCCGTTGCCGGTCCCGGTCCGGTACGGGCACGACACTGAGGGTTGCGATCCGTTGCCGGACACGAATAAAAGACAAAAAGGAAAAAAAAAAAGAGAGAGATATGATTTGTGATCAAATGATTCAGAGAATAAAGACAGAGGGAGAAAGAAAGGGAAACAGAGAAAGAGCAAACAAAGGACAGAGGGAATAGGAGAGGAAATAGTGGGCGCAACACCGAGGGTTGCGATCCCGTTGCCGGTCCCGGTCCGGTACGGGCGCGACACTGAGGGTTGCGATCCGTTGCCGGACACGAATAAAAGACAAAAAGGAAAAAAAAAAAGAGAGAGATATGATTTGTGATCAAATGATTCAGAGAATAAAGACAGAGGGAGAAAGAAAGGGAAACAGAGAAAGAGCAAACAAAGGACAGAGGGAATAGGAGAGGAAATAGTGAGACAGGGAGAGAAAATCAAGAAAATGAGGCAAAATGTTAACAATTGGTGAATACAGATAAGAGGTATAATACAGTTCCTTGTGCTATTCTTGCAACTTTTATATACATTCAAAATTATTTTCATACAAGAAGCTTAATTAAAAAACAAAAGCATGAATCCAAGGTCACACAGCAAATAAAAAGGAAAAACTAAGATTAAATTACAGATCGATTTGATTCCAGTCTGTGTTTTTCTACTGTCTCCATCTCAATTACCAGAGAAGTAAATGTTACAGGTTTAATATATTCCTCCAACTTCTTTATTTCACTTTTTAAAAATCAGCTTTAATATGCTTGTGCCTTATGACCTTGCTAAACTTGTCAACTAGATCTAGCAGTTTTACTGTTATTGAACTAACCTTGCATTCCTTGGATAAGTTCCATTTGGTCATAATATATGATCCTTTATAGATGTTGATAGCTTCATTGTTACTATCTTGTTGAGGAATTCCACACCTACATTTATGAGGGATATTGGTCTGTAGTTTTCTAGAATTGTAATGTCTTTGTCTAGCTTTGATATCAGTGTAATACTAGCCTCAAAGAATGAGTTGGGAGGTGTTCCATGCTCCCATATTTATAGAAGACTTTTTGAAGAATTGGTATTATCTCTTCATTAAATATTTGAAAGAATTCACTAGTGAAGTAATCTGGGCCTGGGTTTTCTCCATGGGGAGATATTTAAGTATTAATTCAATCTATTTTCTTGCTATAGAACTAATCATATTTTTCTTTTCCTCTGAGTCAGTTTTGTTTATTTGTATTGTTCCAGGGATCTTTCTATTTCATTTAAGTTGACTAATTTCTCGGAATGAAGTTTCTCATAGTATTACCTTACAATCTCTTTAGTACGTTTAGAAACTGTAACCATACCATCTTTTTCCTTCCTGGTTTTATTAATTTATGTTTTCTCTCTTTTATTTCTTAGTTGCCTACCTAAAAGTTTGTCAGTTTTGTTCATCTTTTTAAAGAATCAAATTTTTATTTCATTGATTTTACCTATTGTTTTAGTGTCTTCTATTTCATTGACTTCTACTCTGAAACCTTCCTTCTATTTAATTCGGGTTTAGTTTGCTCTTATTTTTGTAGTTTCCTAAGTTAGAAGTTTAAGTTATTGATTTTAAATCTTTCTTCTTTTCAAATATATTCACTCAAAGCCATAAATTTTCCTATACACATCCTATAACTTTTCTTAAATTGTCATCTTGTTTTCTTTTAGTGCAAAAGTTTCCTTATGACTTTATTCTTTGATGCATGAGTTATTTTAAAGTATGTTGTTTAATTTCCAAATATTTGGAATTTTAATTTACTTTTGAGGCTAGCAGGAAGTTGTCAAATAAAAATTACATTACAAAGAAAGCACAGGCTTTTATCAGAATCCAAGCTTGGCTTTAGGCAAACTACTTTAAGTTCATGAGCCTCAAATTATTTATCTACAAAAAGAGATAAAAATACTATTTTTATAGTCTGCTGTGAGGATTAATGGGTACTGAGCATAGTGCCCCCATATGCCATACAGGTGTAACAAAGGATGACCATTATCATTTATCTTCTCAATGGAACATGCTTAATATTTCTTCTCATTTCAAAACTGAAGAGGAAGCTTATCTTAGTCCTTCACTTTGATAATATCTTTTTCAGTTTATAAGTTCAGAAAACGTATGCCACTTGTGAGCTCAACCCATGTATCTAAAAAAAAAAATACAAAGAACAGTGCCTTGTAGCTGGAAAGCTTCCTTGACCGTTAAAGGAACCCCAAGGAAGGGCCATTTCTTTTCCAGGGTGGCTTCGTCTTCCTGATTCTCTGCAAGCTTTTGATCTACAGCATAAGCCTCCTTCTTAGCTGCCTCAAACCTAGGAAGAAATGAAATGGCACATAAACATAAAGTAGCCATCTCCCCAACTTTACTAAAAGAATAGGAATCAACATATTCAAGTTAATGTACTTGTCAAGGGCCTTATAAAGGCAACCATTTGAGCCAGTGATACTCCTTTTAGAAATAAGAACAACAACCCAACATACTAACAAAAATCCATATGGGAAGCTGGTCACTGCATCATTATTTATACTAGCAAAAGAAATAATAACAATAAAAGCAATTGTCACCAAATAATTTATTGCATGTATCTACTATAAACTACTGCATGGCCAATAAGAACGGTGTTACCTAAAAGCTTTACTGAACTTTGGAAATTCCTATGATGTAATATGATTTAATTTAAGTGAAAAAAGTTTACAACATTATATTCCTAGTATAATCTTTACCATGTGAAAAATGTACACGCATTTGTAGACAAACCAAAACATTAACAGTGAATAACTACTCTTTTGGTACTAAGATTATGGACAAATTATTTTTTTTGTTTGTTTTTTGCAAATGTTCTATAATAAACACATATTTCAGAAATTCATAGAAAGAAATATAATTAAATCAATATGCTCAAAAGAACAGTTTGAATGTATATGGTAATACAATCACTAAATTATAAAATTCCAGTGTAATTTCTCATTATCTCAAATACTAATTTTTCAGAAAAGGAATTTAAATCTAAAAACCCATTATGTGACTTAAAACTGATTTTACTAAAGAATCTTCAGGCTCACTGGAAATAGTACTGATGTTTATTAGTTACTTTAACAAATATTCAAAGTACCCAAACAAAATATGAATATGATTAAGTCAATGCCGTCAACATGAACAAAAATTCGGAAGCTCTCATTTCCTAGTTCTGTGATCTATGCAAGTTATTTTATCTCACTGGGTTTCAGTTGCCTCAATTGTAAATTATGAGTAACAATATCCACCTAGCAGGATGGTTATGAAATACATTGAGAAAGTAGATACGAAGAGCTGTTGGCAGTATCTAAGAAAAAGAATTTATCATCACCAGATGTATGTGACAACATTCTAGAAATGGAACAGACATGAATTATAAAGTGTGCCAGGATAATAAATAAAGATGATGACACTTAACAATCATTGACATGTGCCAGGCACTGCTCTAAACATTGTACAGTCACTCAATCCTGACAATTATGTGAGGTAGGTACCAATATTATCCACAACTTACACATATGAAGTAAAGCACTGAGAAATAAAGAATATTGTCCAGGATCACACAGCTAGTAAATGGTGGAAGCAGGATTTTATACATGTGCTCTTAGACTTCTTGTCATGTACCCTTGGGATTCTGCAGAATGTTCCCAACAAGAAGGCCCTATCCAGATGTGACCCTCAACCTCGGACTTCCCAGCCTCTAAAACTGTAAGAAATAGATGTCATTTCTTCATAAATTACCCAGTTTCAAGTATTACCTTAAAAGCAAAAGAAAACAGACTAATACAGAAAATTGGTACCAAGAAGTGGAGTGTTGCTCATTAGCAAATATCTGGAAATATGGAAGCATCTTTGGAAATGGGTAGTGGGCAAAAACTAAAAAATTGGGGGGCAGCAGGTTAGAAAAAGTCCAGATTCTGATGAAGGCTTAGAAAAAGAGAAAGCTACTGGCAAAAGTTTAGAAATCCTTAGAGATAGGTTAAGTGGTGTTGACCAGAATGCTGATAGAAATATGGACTGTAAAGGTCATTCTGAGGAGGTCTCAGATGAAAATGAGAAGGAGCTTATTGGAAGTCAGAGCAAAAGTCACACTTGTTATAAACAGATAAAGAATTTGGCCACACCATGTCCATGATAAGGGCTTTATGGACTGCAGAACATAAGAGAAATGAATTAGAATATTTGGTGAAAGAAACATCCAAGCAGAAAAGAATTCAGGCTGCTGCATGGTTGCTTTAAACTGCTTACATTGAGATTTAAGAGGGGGAAAATTACATAGAGATAGAATTTATAATTAGGAGGGAAGCAGAGCATAAAAATTTGGAAAATTCACACTCTGCCCACGTGAGTAGTGAAAAGGCATGTTTGGGAGAGAATGCCAAGGTTGCTGCTGAGCAATCACTGGTTGCTAAAGAGATTAGCACTGATAAGGAAAAAAAAAAAAAAGAACCAGGTGCTAAGCATCAGGACAATGGGAAAAAGATCTCAGAGGCATTTTAGAGTCTTCAAGGCTTCCCTCCCTATTACAGGACCAAAGGCCTAGGAAAGCAAAATGGTTTCAGGGAGCAGGGCTGGGGTGCCCTCCATGGGCTCATTGCTCAAGGCCACCTCAAGATGCTACTCCTGCTGTTCTGGCTGATCCAGCCATGGCTAAAATGGCCCCAGGTAAGGCTGGACCCATCACCTTGGAATATAAAAGCTGTAAACCTTGGCAGCATCCACGTGGTGTTAAGTCTGCAGGCTCACAGAATGCAAGAGCTATGGAGGCATGGCAGCATCAACCCTGATTTCAAAGGATGTATGGAAAACCCTGGGGGCCCAGACAGAGAATTTTCACAAGGGTGGAGCCACTGAAGAAAGCCTCCACTAGAGCAATGATGAGAAAATGTCAGGTTGGGGCTGCAGCAGAGATTCCCCCAACAGAGTCGTGTGAGCAAGACCACCACCAGGACCTCAAAACTGTAGAGCTACCAGCATGTAATATTAGCCTGGGAGAGTTGAAGCATGGGCTGAGCCCAGGAAAGCCATACAGGCAGGGCTGTCCAAGGCCTCACAGGCCCACTCCCACATCAGTGTGCAGAGGATGCTAAAAATGGAGTCAAGGGAGAATATTCTGGTGTCATAAGACCCAATGTCTGCCCTTCTACATTTTGGACTTACTTGGGATCTTTTAACCCTTCCTTTAGCTCATTTCCCCCTTTTGAAATGGGCATAACTGTCTTATGCCTGTTCAACCATTGTATCTTGGAAGCAGATACCTTGTTTTGATTTCACAGGTATGACTTTAGACTTCAGACTTCTAAGTTGGTGCTAGAACAAGTTAAGCCTTTGGGACTATGAAGACAAAATGAATGTATTTATATGTGAGATGGAAATGAGCTTTTGGGTGCCAAGGGCAGAATGCTATGGTCTGAATGTTTGTCCACTCCAAAGCTCATGTGGAAGCTTAATCTCCAATGTGGGAGTGTTGAGAGGTGGGGCCTTTGGGGAGTGATTGAATTGTGAGGGCTATGACCTTATGAATGAATTAATCCATTCATGGATTAACAGATTAATGGGTTAATGGATGAGTATGGGGGAGGGGTACTAGTGTCTTTATAAATAGAATAAGTGAGCATGTTAACACATGCTCTTGGGCCGGCCCGGTGGCGCACTGCTACAGTGCGCCGCTTGGGAAGCGCGGCAGCGCTTCCGCCGAGGGTTCGGATCCCACTTACGGACCGGCCGCTCACTGGCTGAGCGAGGTGCGGGGGCAACACCGAGGGTTGCGATCCCGTTGCCGGTCCCGGTCCGGTACGGGCGCGACACTGAGGGTTGCGATCCGTTGCCGGTCATGAAAAAAAAGACAAAAAAAGGAAAAAAAAAAAAAACACATGCTCTTGCTCCCTCTCACTGTGTGATACCCTGTGCCACCTCCGGAGTCTACAGAGAGTCCCCATCAAGAAAAAGACTCTCACCAGATATGCTGTCTTGACCTTGGCTTCCCAGCCTCCAAAACTGTAAGAAAGAAATTTTGTGGGATTTTTTTTCTATAAATTAACCAGTTTCAGCTATTCTGTTATAAGTGATAGAAAACTGACATACAGGAACCTAAGACCAGCATCTCCAGCAGGCAGAAATGTATAACCTCAGTAAAACACCAACATAACTAAGACTACCACTTACTGAAAGCTTCTCTGGATGTGAAGCCCCATCCAAAGCAGAAAGGCCTATAGGCTTGTGTTTAGGAAAGGTCAGTAAAGAAAATCTCAAAGCACAGTGTTCAAGGCTGCAACCAGAAGAAGGGAGGACCCAGAGAGAGACACACACACAAGATGGGGGCAGTAGCTGAAGGAGAAAGTTTGTGATTAGGTGGTAAAAATAACTCAGGAAACTTGTTGTGAACTAGAAGGGACCCTTCAGATGAATAGCAAACAAACAAAACAAAAACAAAAGAAAACAAAAATCCCCACTGTAGTAACAAGGCAGTTATGTATGGGAGAATGGCATAAGATAAAGCTAAAAATCTGAGGAATGTCTGATTATGAAGGGCCCTTATGAAACATTCTAAGGAGTTTGGGATTGAAATCTTTAAACCAGGAAAGGGGCATAATCTCTTTAGAAATGAACAGATATACTTTGGCTTCTGTAGGGTAAAAAATATGAAAGGGGGGCAAAACTGGAAATACAAAGATTACTACAGTTGGTGAAGATGATGGTGGTTGGGACTGAAGTGACAGCAGTTGAGATGAAGAAAAATGAAGAGCTACTTAGATAGTAGATCTTGAGTGAAATATTTAGAAGGTAGAATTCATAGAGAATGTTAGAACACCAGAATGTGGGTGATAAAGTTTTTTTCAGTTTTCTGGCTTACGTGACTTGACAGATTGTGATGCCATTCACTAAGATAAAAATATAGAAATAGAGAAGTTAATGAGTTCAGTTTTAATTATTTTGACTCTGTGGTGTCCATGGGACATCCAGGTAGAGGTCTCAAGTAGGCAGATATATACATATGGGAATGAAGCTTAGAGAAAAGGTCTGTGCCACAGATAAAGTTCTGAGAGTTAACAGTGTCCAAATGGGATTTGAAGTCATGGAAGATCACCAAGGCTAACTATATTTATAATAAAACATGAAATATATATTACATATATATATATTATATATATAAAATTCCAGAATCAAACCTTGAGAAAGAATAAAATATTCAGATGTGCAAGACGTAAATAATGAAATAATAGAAGAGAGCTATTCTAGAAGCCAAAGGTAGTGTTAATTTCAAAAATAGGTCAATTATAATTTTGATAATAATAC